TCCAGGACTTACCCGGAGCCCGGGTGTCTGCAGGGCATCTGGGCTCTAACTACCCGTCCTCGAGATGGGATGGGATGAGTTGAGCACAGGCAAACTGCTGAGCTCCCAAAAGGGCTGCCCAGGGCTCTGAGTGAAAGCCTTGAATAAATATTTAACATGGTTGAAAGAGCAGCGTGTTTGTAAGTGGCCTGAGCAAACCAACCCACTCTCACGGGGTGTAACCCGCCCGAGTCCTGCTGGAACAGAGACCTTGACGTTGGAGGTGAGGACAGCTTCAGAAGCTGCTGATACCAGGACATTTGTCGTGCTGGCCTTCAGTCAGCTTTCATAATGGACTTGTGGTCTTTAATAAATCAGAGTATTGATTGTCCCAGCTGTCAGGAGGCCAGGGCAGCTGCCGCATTTGACAGTGTTTGGGTTAGCAGCCCTTCCTTGCAGGCCTCCGCCATATGTGAGAGCAACGTGCATGTTGTGTGCTCCCTGCCAAACTATCCCCAGAAGGCTCTTGACAGCATGCATTATTTTCTTGGGGGCAAAAAAGATTAAAACTTTGCTAAAAAGTGAGGGAGATAATGACAACCATCTCATAATTGGACCAACTGTAAATTATCTGGCTTGAAACCTTGAAATCTGATGAAAGGTGCCAGATTTTTTAGTATGGCAGTGAGTGGTAATGATTTTATAATGTCCTGCAAAATCAAGCTTTACATGAGAAGCCACAGATGGCTTTAAAGGTTTTCTGTTGTGTTCTGGGGTTGATGATTTACCTCTGCCTTTGCTGGCTGAGGGCGATACCTGCAGGACAGACCTATGGAGTTGCAGAGATCTCAGTGGGATAGACCAAGGAGCCAGGCAGACTTTAAAGCAAGTGAATGTTAATCAGCTGCCATAGTGTGGTCGTATTTGACCAGATGCAGGTGTCTCTGGGCTGCTGCATTAGCAGTCATTGCAAATTTTAACTGGGAAAACCATACAGGTTGTCTTAGAGTCATGTGAAATGCCCCTTCAGAACAAGGTCCTGAAGGGTAAGAGGGGGTTTTACTCTTGAGACTTGTCTCTGCACTTCCCATCTGTCCACAGACCGTGTATGTGTGTGTGCAGGACCTTTCCTAGGGGATCAACCCTTTTTCTCTTTTGTGTTTTCAGGACAGCCAGTGTGGGACTGTAATTGATGTCAACATAGAGTGCGCTGTGAAGCTGGTAGGAACCAACTGCATCCTCTACCCTGTCAACAGCAAAGACCTGCAACATATCTGGGTGAGAACACAGCCAAAAGGCATGCGGGAGCCCAGGCTTAGGGGCTTGGAGGGATGCTGCTGTGTTCCAAGTTAACACATGCAAGGGAGGCATCCATATTGTGCGGGATGCATCTGTGGTTTGGTTTTATTTTAAACTTGCTGAAAGCATCCTCCCTGAAAAAAAGATGATGCAGCATTGCCTCATCTCCATCTGTTCATGTTTCTGATCACATTGCTGAGACCAAATTGGCTTGGAGGGCTGGGTTGATGTTAAATTGTGTGAGAACTTCTGCACTGAGGTGGGCTGGTGTGCAGCCCCATGGCAGTGGCACACAGCTTCTGAGCTGCAGTACTGGTGGTGTTTAAACAGGCTGTAAAAATGCTGAGAGGAGTCAAGTGTCTTTCTATTGAGCTGGAACAGTCTGAAACACACCTGATTCTCCCTCTGGAGTGGGTGGGTGATTTTCAGAGACCAGGTGGGATAGGATTTTGTTATACTTTTTCCTCTGAGAAAAAGATAATTTGGGAGTGAAGAGCAGGAGTGTCACAATCCTCCTCAAGAAACGGCTTGTGGAAAGGCAGTGGGATACAGGCTTCCCTGCTTGGGATGAAATGTTAGGCTAAGTAATAAAAATTACTTGTTAATATGGCTGAAGGCGAGTGCAACTTAGCAAGTTTAAGATCCGAGGAAAAAAATCCCAGAAAGCTGGAGCTGTTTCACTGGAGAATCCAGGCTGTGTGCGGACGGTCAAGCAAACTCTTCAGTGTACACTTCTACACGTTTGCAGCGAGATCTGCCGTTGCTGTCATGAATCCCTTTGAGATTGCCATCTAGTCTGCGTAGTCTGAGGACTGATTTGATGGCTTGAAGTACAAGGGTTGATGTTTATAGGGCTTGTTCCCTGTTTTCTTCATAGCCGTTCATGTATGGTGACTACATAGCCTATGACTGCTGGCTGGGCAAGGTCTATGATTTGAAGAACCAAGTCATCCTCAAGCTTTCCAATGGAGCCAGGTACGTGTCTCTGTTGACGACTGTCCCCCTTGGATTCCATGATCCAGGTCTGTTTCGGGAGAGCTAGAAACAGGCTGAGCTGCTCATTCGCATACTGATAAGTCGTTGTGTTACCTTCAGATGTAAAGTAAGAATACATCTTTCTCTGAAAACAGCAAGATTCATTAGTCACCCTCTGGAAAAACTGTTGTTTGAGAGGTGACAATTTTTTTTTCAACCCTAGCAGGTCTCGGTCTTCCAGAGCTAAAGCATGGTGCTGTTTTAAGCTGCACTTCTCCCCGGGAAAAGTGGCTGTTTAAGATGGATTGCATATGCTAGACTCTTTCTCAGCAGAAGTGCATACCTTCACTGAGAGGCAGGGAGGGAGGGTTCTTACCTTAAAAAAAAAAAAAAGTATATCTGTCTGTGAAAGTGTAGAAACCTGCGGGCTGGTGGTTTTCAACAAAGACAAAAAAGCAGCTCGAGACTGAACAGCATTGCTTTATTTTCACTGTTATTTGCAGCTGCATTAGGAATGGTTTTTCAACAGAGATGTAATCCAAAGTCGTATCTCTAGAGAGATTTAACCAGAAATATTGAAAGAAATATCTGGTTAACTTATTCTGTAGTTCTGCAAAGCAAGCAGAAGGATCTGAATTCTATTCCTTTTGCGTGTCGGATGGTTACTTGAGAACTAAAACCGTCGGAACTCATTATGTTCACTCTGCTGCTGTGGCCTGTCTTGTCCAACAAACTTTCTCATTGACAAGGAACGAAGGAACCAGTGGAGGGCCAAGACTCTTACGGGCCTGGCAGCTGGGGGATAACCCATCTGTCTTGTAAATTGAGTGGTGACACTGATGTTCAGGGGGGAAAAAAAGATGACAAACCCACAGCCCTGCAGCCAGCTCTGAGTCTGAGCAGTGAGTAACGCGAGAGCTGTGACGGATGACTGGTGGATGCGTCTGTGACTCTGGTGGTTTTAGCGTTTGGTTAACCCAGACTGAAAGGCTCTTACACATATGTTAAACTGGGAGTGAAAAATAGCTGCGCTTCTCTGTCTGTATCGCCTGCAGTTACTGGTGCAATTTAAAACCTTGGTTTCTGTTACCAGCTCATGCACAGCTATGTAAAATGAGGTAACTGTTTTCAAAATCTCTTCCTAATTAATCATTTGAGATCTCACCAGAACTCAGTCGGAAAATGAAGCTACTACTGAAGCGAGTTATACCCAGATTGCCTTTAGGTTCCAGTGTCTATGTGAATAACAAATGGGACTTAGCAGCAGACAAATCTTGTCCAGCACCCTGCATATTACTTCATTTTTTTTATTATTTTTTTTTTCGCATGCTGAAGGGAGCCTTTAAATACCAGGCAATGCTTTTATAGCTCATCTACAACCAGCTTTGCTGTGGACGACGAAGGTTCGGCGATGCAGCGCTGGGCATGCAGACGGACCTGCTCAGGCAGCGTCGATTGCTCTGCTGCTGTTTGCTGGGGAAACGGGTGGCTCTGGGACCGCGACCCTCTCTCTTGTCTGTTTTCCAGATGCTCTATGAGCACAGAGGATGGATCCAAGCTGTATGACGTTTGCCCTCATGTCAGTGACTCGGTGAGCTTCTGGCTCTCCTGAGAGCCGTTTTGATCAACTTCATCTTACAAGCTTCTTGTGCTGGAGGGAGGGGGAAGGCAAAACCATAGGCACTTCTTAATCCTAAAAACTAAACGATGCATCACAGCTGAAAAACACTTCACTAGATCTGTTAGTAAGTGTGACAGGATGTAGCTTAAAGGTAGTGTTAGTACTGAACAGGTTCTGAGGAGCTGCTACAATTAGTATAGCCAGCTGGTTTCGCTGCACACAGCTTGCACAACACGCAGTCGGGTGGCTGGTGTCAAGGTGGTTCTCTGCTCATTGTGTCTGTACATGCTCGAAAAGGCTCTTACTCCACTGAATGCTTTCAGAGTCGTTCCCCTTCTGGAAAAGGACATGTTGTTTAAAAGGTGTTTGCTAGAAGCACGTTTCCAGATCCTGTAAAACACTGTCTCTCTTGCTATTGTGATCCATCCCGTTCTCTGAATGGAGGCCTGCCACGCCATACTGGCATTTTCCAGATCACGTGGTGGGGAAGGTTCTGCTAGCTTTTGGGTAGAACACTGAGGTTCTCTATTAGAGGCTGATGACAGCTTGCTTGTTCTTCCAAACAGCATCAGCAGGGCCTGGCTGCCCTCCTGGCAGCAGGACTGGGAGTTGATGGAGAATGGCGTATAATTCTTAGGAACTAGCAATGCAGTCAGCCCTTATGCTTCCCAGCCTTCAAAGCAAGCTCCCTTTGATCTAAAACTGCACTTCTGTTAAAATTTGATGCCTGTTTCTTGAAGAGTAAATGGAATATCAGTTTAATAGGATGTGCTGCTGTGTTGTTTTTCTTCTGTACAGAAAAGGTGTGGTCTGTTGCTGCATATCCTCCAGTATCTTAGTCTCTGCTACTTTGGGTTGTGCAGCAGGTTTTCCACTTGTTAAATGGATGCTGTAGCAGCATCCAGCTTCTGGATACCCAGTTTTGAGATACCTTGTTTTGAGTCTGACTGCCTTTAAAGTGTACCTAATCCTCTGGAGGCTTGCGGTTTGGTCTGAAACGGGAGCTGTCTCCAGTGTTACTCAGAATTGCTGCATGTTAGATATTTACCTGGCTTAGATCTTGTCACACTGCTCTTATCCTTTCTGACGAATTACAAGACTCAATACAGTTTTGTGCTTAGCATTTTAGCTACCCTAAACTTCTCTGTCCGCCCCCACATTCTGAAGCTTTGACTCATCAAGCTGCTCGAAATAGGAGTAGGAAAGAACTCTGGGACAGAAATTGTTGTGTTTGCTATCCTGTTTTGTTTTCAAATAACTGTCATGTTAACTAATCCAATTAAGACATGAGTAATAATGACAAACTTAATTTGACTAGTAGAGGAGTGAAGGCAAGCATCCTCTGGCTTTGGAAGCTGTAGGTGCTTGAATTAGGGCATGGAAAAGAGAATCACAGAATGGCAGAGGTTGGGAGGGCCCTCTGTGGGTCACCCAGCCCAACCCCCTGCCCAAGCAGGGTCACCCAGAGCAGGCTGCACAGCACCGCGGCCAGGCGGGGCTGGAATATCTCCAGAGAAGGAGACTCCACAGCCTCCCTGGGCAGCCTGGGCCAGGGCTCCGGCACCCTCAGAGGGAAGAAGTTCTTCCTCGGGTTCAGCTGGAGCTTCCTCTGCTTCAGTTTGTGCCCGTTGCCCCTTGTCCTGTCGCTGGGCACCACTGGAAAGAGTCTGGCAGCTCCTCATCTTTCTTGACCTGGGGAGCCCAGCACTGGACACAGCACTGCAGATGGGGCCTTCCCAGGGCAGAGCAGAGGGGCAGGAGAACCTCCCTCGCCCTGCTGCCCACACTCCTCCTCATGCACCCCAGGATCCCGTTGGCCTTCTTGGCACCCAGGGCACGCTGCTGGCTCATGGTCACCCTGTCGTCCCCCAGCACTCCCAGTCCCTCTCCGCAAAGCTGCTCTGCAGCAGGTCCACCCCAGCCTGTACTGGTGCCTGGGGTTGTTCCTCCCCAGGTGCAGGACCCTGCCCTTGCCCGTGTTGAACTTGCCCAGGACTCAGCCTACCTTGGCTCCCTTGTAACTGAGAACACTTGTGCAGAACTCCATGTCTCTTGTTTCCTCCAAGTGCCTTCGCTTCCCCCCCTCGGAGTCGCAGGCTGGTGTGGATGTGTGGCGGAGCAGCTTGCTGTAGGAACTGTTGGGCTGACTTAGGAGAGGAGTGAGCTTTAGGAGATGGGCAACTTGCAGACTTTTCCTTTATGGTTAAGTAAGATCACGAATGAGAAGAGAAATGCTGAAATCTGAAGATTTAAGAGTGAGAGTCTTTTATGCTGGTTTTTTCCCTTCCGTTTTCCCCACAGGGTCTCTTCTTTGATGATTCGTACGGCTTTTATCCTGGGCAAGTCCTCATCGGGCCTTCGAAAGTTTTCTCCAGCGTGCAGTGGCTCTCGGGTGTGAAGCCTGTTCTGAGCACAAAGAGCAAGTTCAGAGTGGTGGTGGAAGAGGTAAGGGCTGACCGGCTGACACCTTCTGCACAGCGCTGTCCCTGGCTGGGCTCTCGGAGCAGTCAGCTTGCCGTGGTGACCTCCCAAGAGCAGATGCACTGTGGCCCTGTGCTTCTGAGGTGACAAGTTTCTCACTGTGGACTGACAGGACTTTGGAGTGCGGTTTAGCTTTTCCTCCCAAGGGTCCCTGCCAGCACCCTGTAAGGTGACCGGGTGCCAATACACGTAGAGGCCAGTACTGCTGATCACTAGGGCAGCAGAAGCACCTCTTCTACTGAAACTTAATGCTGCGTGGTATCCAGAAAGGGAGAAACGTTGCTGATCCTTTGTTGGAAGAGGGAGCAGCTCGCAGTCCGTTAGCATGTCTCTGCTGATTCGTATGTACTGTAGCTTCCTTACCAAGCCAGATACCATTGTTCTTTAAGTTAAAAACTGTAGAAGCTCTTGGTGTTGCCAAGAGCCATGCTGTGGGAGCACTGGGTCCTGGATGTGGTGAAACTGCGCTTGACCTCTTAAATGATAAAAGCAGGACTGCCACTTCCCTGTGTGTAAATGTTCAGATCCTAGACACTGGTCTAGGAGAGCCTCTGAAAAATTAAATTGCTTTCTCTGTTTACATTGCAGGTGCAAGTGGTAGAACTAAAGGTTACTTGGATCACTAAAAGCTTCTGTCCTGGAGGTACTGACAGTGTGAGCCCTCCTCCCTCCATAATCAGCCAGGAGAAGCTGTCCAGGTGAGATTAGTTGAAAGCCCCTCGTCACTCCCAGCACCCAGGGCCCCCACAGACAGTGGGTGCCATGCCTACCGACTGGTGAGGCACAATGCTGCTGTTTCCAGTGGGTTTTTCACTTTGTATGCCTGTATATTATAGAACTTCAAAAATGTGGGAGAGTAGCTTCCAAATTAGTTCAGCAGACACTTGAGTTACCAGTACAGGGGCTAGCATCCTGCCAGTCCTCTCCAGGTATGCTCCAGCTGACAAGTGCATGGAGGAGAGCAGTGTCTGGCAGCAGCTCACTCTGCCCGTGTCCTTCCACTCGCGTTTGGAGCAGGCTGCGTGTGTGGTGGGCAGCTGAGACATCCTGCTCTGGGCCTGGGCGGGTGCGGAGGGAGCGGCTGGTGCCTTCTGCATGGCCTGGGCAAAGTTCAGGGAGAGAAGTCAATGAGCAATAGCACAATGCAGCGTAGTTCCTGCCAGGAGCTCCTAAGGGAGCTGGAGAGGAGCTCTGGGATGACAGCAAAGAACCAGGGCCAGCTTCAGATGTCTTTTGGCAGCTGTCTCTGGGAGGGGGAGGAGTGACCAATGTCCTACCCAAACTCTTTTATCCTGCCCAGTCCCTGGTGAGGTTTCCCACTCCTCCTGTAGAATTGTGTGCCTGGAAAGGATTTGGTGTGGTGTTGGCTTCTGCCACCCCAGAAGTGCTGCTGGCGTCAGGTGGTGCCGGCCTTGTGAAGGCGCCCGTCGCTGCTGGGCTCTGTTCCTGCTTTTGCCCTTTGCTCATGGCTGTCCTCCCGTCCTACCAGAGTAAAGCGTCTGGGGTGCTTTGACCATGCCCAAAGGCAGCTTGGGGAGAGGTGCCTCTATGTGTTCCCGGACAAGGTGGAACCTGCGAAAATCACCTGTGAATGCCCTGAGAGGAACTGTGTCCTCGGTGAAGGATCGGTTGCCAAAAAGGTGAGCTGGGGGTTGAGGGAGGGACTGACTTCTCTAAGCATTTCTGGTCGCTGTGGCTTTTAAGGCAGGAATCTTCCTGGTAGTCATGTGGTCTGAAATGTGATTCCTGAGGCAGTGGTTGTGAAGAGTAATGGCTTGTTGTTGCCAGCAGCGAAGTCACCTTGTACAGCAGCCTGGCTGCGCTGGGTGAAGCATGCAGCTAATGCCACAAGGGAACATGGACAGGACATTGAACACAGAGGTGTCACCTTGCAGGGGTCAGGCTGTGCTGGAGCTGGTGTGCCGTGACAGCCAGGGCTGTCAGACACACGTCGTTCTCATTAGCACAACCTCAGGTCCTTAGGGAGCTGAACTGTTCAGTTAAACCCTTGCTGCAGTCAGACAAGGAAGAAGTCCTTGCTTCCCAGGCCGGATGAGTCATGCTATGGCTTCCACGCGCTGGCTGTAGAGCAGCGGTGTTCCTAGAAGAACGGGATGTCCCCCGTGAGGATGGGGCCCTCCCTGCAGAGCAGTGTCTGTTACATAGCTCAGCGCGCACAGCCTCTTGTGACTTCCCGTAGCAAAAGGTTCAGAACACGCTTAAAATAGCCTTAAAGAGCAAAGCTGGCTTTCCTTGGAGTAGTCCAGCGCTGCTCAGGAGCTGGCTGGCGTTTGCTCCGGAGCAGAGCAGTGGTGAGATGCGGGTCTGCGGAGTCCTCTGGGGCAGGTGGGCTGCGCCGAGGCCCGGGGGTGCTGCTTCCCTCCGTGTACGACGCTAGCGGTTCCCAGGCTGGCTGGCGGCGGGCTGAGCGTACAGGGCTGTTGTCTGACCCAGGTCTGCTTCCTCTAGGTGAGGCGGCTGCTGAAGAAGCAGATAGTGAAGATCATGTCGTGCTCCCCAGAGTCTCAGGGTACCAGCGAAGGCCCTGACAAA